CCAACTTGTGGTTGAGAGGTTTTTTTGTATATTTTGTCATTCTCCGAGGTGTTCTAGATTTCACCGAGCTTTTTAGCTTTTTTTGATTTGGACATTTATGCGGCATGGAAAGACAGAACGCTTGAAGCGCTTTCTATTGTCAAGGTACCGTAGGGAGACGGCGAATCCACTTTCCTTGTGCAATAGGAGGTCACAGTACGAGTTTGCTTTGATTCCTTATGTACACCGCATATCCAAATTTGAAAACATATAGCCAAACATGTTGATGTAACGATGTCTTCTCTGTCTGTTAAAAAACATTCCAGTCTCTGCAAGATGACTAACCCTTTTCTCAGGAAAGCCCCGCCTGCAATGTGAACCACAAGAACAAGTATGTAAGCTGTCAGACGCGTGTGGTCTACGAGTTACCCTTGTTGTGTGGTACAAGTTAGGTAGGCCATACCGAGTCATGCCTGAATGACAAGCTAAAGCAGTATAATAACAACGTCATAAATGGCAGAGAAGGCCACCTCGCAATTCACTTCTGGGATTGTCATTGTGTTCCTAATCATTGAGGCCAAGAGAATAATAGAATTAGGTGATCTATGTGTCTGCGTAGCCTCCATTTCAATATCGCCAAAAGAGTTACGCTACTTGAATGCAACTGGGCATTAAGGTGTGGTGTCTATATATGTTCTGTGCTATTTCTAAATAAATTTTTAATCTTTGTTGGAATTTTTAGTCTTTGTTTGTTGGAAATTCGAGTATAAAATACTATTACCACAGTTTTTCTAGCTTTGTTTAGTCGGCCTGGAAAACCACCGCAGTCAAGCAGAAAAGTTCATCTGTTCCAGCAACACTGGTATGCCGGCGTTGTTAAACAAACTGTAGTGGTGCCACTCATGCCAAACGGGCTACTAATACAAACATAGAACGTGCTTCACAAAAAAAATTTGGGGTCCCAGCTGTCTTTCAGCTGTGTGTAGGTGTTCTGCATTGCTTATGCTAATGTGCCAACATGGACAGTGAAGTGCAACTGAAACAGTGGGCGAAGAACATTAGCAAGCACTTCTTCTATTGTCTGTCACGCTCTGCCTTCCCATTGCTACGAACCAATTCGCCTAGATCAGCCTTGCTCCAGCATGCACACCTTGGTGAAGCGGAATGTAATGGCAAAAACTTTTTCTATGTAGAACCTCGGTGTATACTGGTGTCGTTGACTAATGTGCTTTTTACGCATGTGGACTTGACTGTATTACGCTGGACTTGCAGGAATGGTTTGAAAATTCCCTGAAATCAGTCGCGCTGCTATTTGCCGAAGACTCTCGTGCGTGCGTGTGTGTGTGTGTGTGGTGTGTGTGTGTGTGTGTGTGTGTGTGTGTGTCGCCATAGCACCACCAGGCGCGCCTTCTTGAATGCATGAGAGGGGTGGAAAAAAGCAAAAAAAAAATGCTCCGGCACAACCTACACCTGCCTCAAGTGCGTAAAATAAAATTTCAAGTTATATGTGTTTGTTTTTAAGCAAAGTGAGTGTACCTCTGATGATTTCTTCTCTTGCCTGTAGATTGAACCACATTGTTAAGTGACGCTAGCAGTTATTCTCTGTCAACTTTCAATGTCAAATTAAAATCGTAATTCCTTTTGTGTGGGATAAAATCATGCTCGTTAGCACAGTTGTGTTGAACGATCTTATAATTTTTGCCACTATCAGAAAAGTTTTACTGAGCCGTTGGCAGTCTCTGAAATGCCTAAACTAAAGGTGTGCGAATATTTGAAATTTCGAACATTTTTCTGTTAGTGTTTGCTGTTTGATTTGATCGCTCTAGAAAGTTTCCTATTCAAACTTCCTAAAGACATATAGAGTCAACGTCTAACTTAGTGACCCGTTCAGGTTTTCAGTATGCTTCATCTCATCACAGCCTCGTATTGAGGCAAAGCTGCAGTTTGGGCTCTGCTACGGTCGGTCGAACTTCTCAAAGACAAATTCAGTCTAAGTTCGATTGGAAGTGGCCCCTTCAAATTTTAAGTATGCTTAACCTCATCACACTCTCCTATTGCAGCACAGCTGCCAGGCTCTGCTATGGTTGCAAATTTGTTGACCCAAGAAAATTCTGGTTACAACATAGAGATGACTGATGAGACAGAGGTGGGGGCTCGGGTAATGCTGTTTTGGACCTGAAATTAGGGCAAGAAATCGGAAAATGGGACGCCCAAGATTTTTATCATTCAAAATTATAGACGTTCTTATAGATTGACGTCTACGAGGCAGATTTGGAACATCGGATTTGAAAAGAGCACAGCCTTGTCCGCCATATCAATTGGGCTTTCACAGAAGTTGAAAAAGGAGGAGAGGCTGAGAAAATGGCATCTTAGCCTTTCACATGTAAAGTATTGTCAGCAACACTTTGGTTTCACCAAATTATTACAATTATTACATAGATACAATTCAGCCTCTGCATTGTCTCGTTCTTGATAAGACAACTTTGAAACACCACCCCACCAGTGCTTCAACTTAGACAAAAGAAACGCCTTCATGGTGGTATCTGATACAAATATGGTTAGAAATTTTCTCCAACATTTCTTTCTCCAACGTCGCTTCAAACTACTATACTGTATTCACTCCTATTCCTATACTATTGATAACTGCTAAACAAACGACACCTTGGCTGATGTTGCAGAGTCTGACGGTCCTTCTACAAGGGCAGCATCTGCAGTAGTTGTCAAGGAGGAGCCCATGGAGACGGACGAATCCGAAGAGCTCAAGAAGGTAGGCCACACCTAATGGGTTGGTGGCGAATACTCTGCCTGCCCCTGAGCTGTGCTCTTCAACCCATTGAAGCTTCAGTGACGGCCGTTGTGCAGGATGAGGCAGAGTCCGAAGACTACGAGATGATTCGGGACCCCGCCTTCCTGCTGTATGTCCTTGAAAACCTCCCTGGTGTGGACCCCCAGAGCGAGACTGTCCGCAATGCACTGGGAGAGCTCACCCAGGGAGACACGGCCAAGAAGGACAAGGATGGCCAAAACAAGGGCAAATAGAGCGAGGACAAGCAGTAGCCATAACACCTGCTTGACTCTGCCTCTCCTCTTCTCTTTTTTTTTTCTCTCGACCTATGGCCATTACAAAAAAGAATAATAAAAATTGTGTCCCATTAACTGCAGGACTTGTCGTCCCATAGATGTCTGTCATTGTTCTGTCTGTGTTTTTGTTTTCATATTTCATTTTTAAATGTGTGTGCACACTTTTATACTACCAACTTCATTTATATACGTGTACTGTAGGTTTAAGTCTGTGGGCACAGTGGTGGCTGCCATAGGTCTGCAAACTCTCTGAACAGGCGCTAAGTATGAGTGAGTGAGTCTGGCTGAGTACCATATGGTCCTGTGGTCTCATCTTCAGCATTACTGTCAGCCATATATCAGCTTACGGTTGTATGAGTTTTTTCACGCATGTCTGAACGCGCTAGCGTTCATGATGGACCATTTCAATATTTATTTATCGGAGGCCTGTGTTGGGGTAGTGTCATAACCTCTCACCCCAAACTCTTCCGAGGGAAGTTATTACAAAATCTCGTGTGAGTCGCGCATTTCATAAAAAGCCTTTATCTGATTGAAACCAGTGCTAACTATTTGTTTAAAGGTACAAGATCAATACCGAGTTGACTGGCGGAACATGGGACAGGCCTTTGTCCTGCAGTAGTCGTAGTCAGGCTGATGATGATGATGATGACAAGATAAATAGGTGTATTGTATACATATTATAGTAAAACAAAACAAGGATGCAGAAATATTCGAACACTACAACCACTAGATTTCAACTGATAATTTAACTCCAAACTCGTGACACAAAATGATAACTAAAAGTCTAAACTGATTGTATCATCACCATTATGTTGTCAAATCAAGCTATACTTGTGCATGCTCCTTTCAAGAAGCTGATTTTTTTTATACGATAGTGTTTAAGAGCTCATTTTGCAAAAAATTGCGGTGGTGGCATCGGTTGTGAGCGGAAAATCAAGATGTAAATAACAAAACATTTCATGTCCAAGTGAGGATGGAACCCAGTGCATTTGTGTGGCAAGCAGGTGTTCTATCACACAGTCACGCGTCTGCCTGAAAATGCAGTGAAAAGAACTTCCTCTGCTTGGAACTGCAGTGAAAATAAAGTTCATGCTCTAATTCTTTTTGTTTTCATTGTAAACATTGTTACACAATAGCAGGGGCAAAAAAAAGCTGCTATAGGGAGCTTGAGAAGCTCTTAGCCTTACAAACGCGCATCCTGTATAGAAGCTTCACAGTATGTGTAATATCACAGTATTATTGTGTGGTACAAGTCTGCATTGCCATCGGGCATCGGAGCATGTGATTATCATAACTTCGTGGTTTAAAGTCGGCCACCCATTACAAAAGGCACTGCATGAATTCCCTGAGACCGCATAGTGGGTGTATAGCAAGTGCGAAGAAATTCGTGTGAATAATTGCTTGTGGTTAAATGTACTCTACCCATTACAAAAAATGCAGCCATATGCGAAAGCTTCACTGACACCAGCCACTTTCAGCTTTATTGCTTATATCCTAGTAATCCACATTGTAAACTTCTTGAGTAACATCATGCAATGAAAAGTGCTATTCACTAAGTGTTTGAAGTATGCACTGGGAACAGAATATCGTTATTGCGTTCAACTCTTCCGGAGCCCTCTACTACGGTGTCTCTCATAATCATATGGTGTTTTTGGGACGTTAAACCCCACATATCAATCAATGCGTTCAAATTTTGAAGGTGATGCTTAAGGGTCCCCCAATTTTTTTTGTGAGGACAATTGAGGGTCACTTAGTGCGCCTGTGTGCCTCCCTGTGTATGTAAATAAACTTGTGTGTGCATCTTTTCGTGCCCTTTTGTTTTGCTACAGTATGTATTCAAGTCAAAATGAACTAGCCCAAATTTCAGCTCCAACTTTAGATGTATTGCCATGGAGTGTATTTCCATGTGGTCATGACATTGACTTGTCATATCTTATACAAATATTTATGCTACCAGTTTTACTTGTGTACAAGCACTGTCTGCCTGTTCAAGACAACTTTTATCACAACAAGGGCCGATTTTTGTGCTGTAGTTGTCTGCCACTGCCTAAAAGTTCATAACCACTATGGTGAGAAATAAGAAAAAAAACTAAATAAAACTACTAAGGATAGAATGGGATTCGAAGCCAAGTCCTCTGCGTGGCAGGCTAATATTCTACCACTGAGCTACGCCGGTGCTTGAAACTTCGTCGCGAACCGACCCTATGCAGGTTTCATACCAGGAAAGGGATCTTGTTAACCTGTGATAAAGCGTTTTAGAGCAGTAAAGTAACTACCAGGTGTCGCACATTGTGAATAGCATAACAAGTGAGTTGGTGAAAGCTTCAACCCATTACGGAGAAGTCTAAGCAAAATTCTTCGTTTTCAGCCAGAGCATCAACAAAGTACGCAATGCCTTATAAGTGTGTAGCACGTACCGTGCTTCTACAAAAAAATGGCAAATAATGGAATAGTGTACTCTTTCTTACTACACAAAAATTATGATTTATGGTGCAGTGGGTCGCTCTTCCAGCTTGCACTGTGGCTATGCCGTGCAGGCCTGGCACTTTTTCATTTGGGCAAACCTGTGCCCAAAAAAAAAATGAAACATCGAGCAGAGCATCAGCCAAGTGATCTGCAGTGTGCATCATAGACGTTTATGCATGCAGCATTGAACATCTGAGCCTTAACCAAACAGAACGGTCTTCAACAAGTGCGAATTCGGTTTCTCGAACAATGCGTCGCAATCGGCACTGAGCATTCTTAAGAGTCTTAACAGGTGAAATACGAATACATCCAATTAAATATGCAGCAATATTGTGGAGCAACGATTGTGGCATACTGCTGGTGTTTTAAAAGCTCATTTTACACTGACGGATGCGCGAGTCGGCGTGCTAGACCTGTTTATTAACATATTAGTGACCGAGTGTGGTTGAGGAAAATGTTTTGCTGACCTATGTGGTGGTGTTTAATGTATGAGGTTAAATATTTAATTTCATAACACATTATTAGCAGTTTAAGTAATAATGCTTGAAACCTAATCTAATTATACTACCTTAAGTGAACATTATTAAATGGAAATACACCCTTCTCACCTTTAATATCAACTTAAGTTATACATACAGCACTGCTATATTTGCTCTCAGTTTCTGCAATGATAAATGTTGCAAAATGTTGCTACAAAAGCCTTATTTGGACAATTGCATATGTGTTGCAGACTCCTTCGGATATGTGTTTGCAATGTGTGTAAAAACAAAACTGCTTTGTAGTTCTGCATTTTTGGTGTCTATGTGATTCTTTACTATGGCTCTGACTGTGCCCCCAACAACAAATCATAATTAATAACTTTCCTGTTTATTGCCTTTTTTTCTTGTATTGTGAAAAAGTGCCGGGAAGCCAACTTGCGCACCGAAAGTCTCATCTAGACTACAGTAAATTCTCTGAAATGTTTATATTGAACTCTGCACTATATCAAACTAACTCCCGTTGTTTAGCAAGTTAGATGGGTTGGACTAAGATGCCTAGGTTCCACTGTCGCAAACGCAACTTTGTGCGAGCACGGCTGGACTTGCGTGCGCGCGCGTTCTCTTTGGTCTAGAGTTTATGTATATGCTACCTGCATTTAGGTAGCATATACAGTAGCTCTACTCTGGTCAGGCCGTGGTGCGAGTGCCATACGTGGTCAGCTGCACCAGCTCGCGCCACACGTCTGCAAGCATTCTGTGATAGAACACCGTAGGAGTACTCAGCAGAGTTTTCTCTCTCATCGTGTCACCACATAACACCTTCCGTGTGTGCAAGCTCACCTTGGGCGCGTGCAAATCTCGGAGGTCATGTTTTCAAGGGTAAGGCTTTTAGAGCCTGGGGTCTCATATTATACGGAGTAGAAGCTCTGAGGTCGTTTTTTTTTCGGTTTTTTTTTTTCCCTTAAGTTTGGAGCGCGCTCTGCTAGGTAAAACGCGCTGAAACTGTCCACATCCACAGTTCTTTTGGTGTCCTCTAAAGCCCGTATTCAGAAACCAACCTAAACCTTACTTCAGGTTTTCCTTATTGTTTTTAAGCCTTTATTGCACTTGATGAACAAAGTAGGCCAGTATGCATGAACCAATCTTGTTATCTTTAACCCTGTTAGCATTTCTGTGGCCATATAATGCAAGTAGTGAGTACAGGAACTTGAGGAAAACGTGAGGTAGGGCCAAGGTTGGTTTCCGAATACGGGTTTAAGGTGCTGCGATGATTAGACTAAGCAGCGCACCAGTGCGAAATGTTGAAGTTGTCATTTATTCTGGCAGACCGTGTGCTAAAATACAGGGAACTAGAATACCAGAACATTTGTAACTGAAGGAGGTCAGTTTCTGTTTTATTCCCTAGCACTGTGCTGTGTCACATAAAAGAACACATAAGACCATTCCTCCATGCATAAGACGCCGTGGTCACCATGTTTGTAGAGCTTGGCCAGGCGCATGGAGTACACTGTACATGGAGGACAATTAAGTTTATACCGTACACTTCGGCTTCGCTCATTTTGTTATTAGCCTATTCCCTCCCCTCCTCCGTTTGCATGCTCTTCGAAAGTAAGCAGTACGCTGCTGCCTTTACATGAACATCGAGTTTTCTTGCTGAAACATATTAGCTACAGCGACGCTCTTTTTTCAACTCTTATGGTAAGTTGAACCTTAATTTTTGCTGTCTTATCCCACAAGTGTAATAATCATAATGTTGAGTACATTGTGAGATTACTCAAATTCACAGGTGTGAAATTATATTGGGGACACTTATGGAAAAAATGTGGGTGCAATGTTTTTGAAACACCACGTATGAAAATAACAGCTAGTTGTCACTTTGCTCACATATTGAGCCAATCAAAAACTCCCTTTCCATTAGATTCACTACTAAGTGATGTACATGTGGATGACCATTTAATACGCATGCATGTAACACCACAATTATTTGATTCTGGTGGCAATTCACAGCTGCTGGTTTTATAAATGACAAATAGCTGCTATTTATTGGTTCTATAGACGGCAAATCCGTCTCGCCTATCAGAGGCTATTGGTACCAATACGCACAAATAGCTGTTGCCTATGCGTAATAATACATATTTATTGGTCCTATAGGAGACAAATAGGTGTCTCCTATTGAACCCTAATAGTGCCAATACGTGTCTATTGGTTCTATAGGTGACAAATAGGTACAACCAATAGGTCTTATTGGTGACAAATAGATAGGGTCAATTGGTTTTTATTGGTGCCAATAGAATTAAAAAGAAACCTATAAAGTCCCAATACAGCTCTTATAGACCAAATAAGATTTCTCCATAGGACCAATAGATTTCTCTACTGGCATTTTTGCTAGAGTATGCCCCTGGTGTTTGTGAGACAGAGATATTGTGTATGACACATCAAGAGGTGAAAAAACATGGAAGAGTTTCAGTTCTTTCGCCAGGGAGATGTACACGAAGAATTTGATTTCGGGGAAACATTGCGGCCGGGCCAGGGGGTGGAGGGTGAAGGTAGTGATGTATAAATAAGAAAAAATGCAAAGTGATTATCGTAACTCTACTCACGAGGAAAAATATAAGGAGGAAATAAAAGTGATAGAGAGGGATCGAATCCCGGCTGCGGCGGCTGCATTTCCGATGGAGGCAGAAATGTTGTAGGCCCGTGTGCTCAGATTTGGGTGCACGTGAAAGAACCCCAGGTGATCTAAATTTCCGGAGCCCTCCACTACGGCGTCTCTCATAATCATATGGTGGTTTTGGGACGTCAAACCCCACATATCAATCAATCAAAAGTGATAGAGAGAGAGGCCAAGTTTGATATGAAAGAAAAAGACTGGAAGACGGTCAGAGGAGTTCGAGGACGGCGGGCCGATCGGTGAGAGCTCAACCAAAAAATGCACCGCGGATAGCACCAAACTCTTACGGAGAAGCCACAACTACAGGAGAAAAATTTTCAGCCAAGAAATGCACCGCGGATAGCACCAAACTCTTACAAAAGAAGCCACAACTACAAAAGAAAAATTTTTCTGCCAAATTTAGCGACAGTCTGGCAACAACTACCCTTCCAGTCTGGCAACCACTTATGCAACGCCAAAAGGAACCTTGCCGCTCTCTATGCAAGCACCAGGAGGGCGCGGACGATACAACTATGGGAGAGCGCATGTGTTTAGTCTGTTTCCGTTTATTCGCGATACTACAACCTGACTGTTTCTAAAATCGACAATTCCAAGTTCGTACATACTTATTTCGCGTCGCCTCAGACTGCTGCGAACTTGCTGCAGCGCTCAGTAAGGAGATTTGGAGAGAATCGCGACCTCGTTATATACATACCTATAGATACGCTGAAGCTAATAATGTAACTACGCCCAGGTTACCTACGCTTCTCACGCCTGGCGTTAAGTTCACCTATTCTATCACGAGGCTCTCTGTAAAGAGCGCAATAGCGAATATAATGACCGGCCAAAGTATTGCGCAGTAGATCCTTCGCGGGCAACCAAATACTTGTTGCAATTTTATTTGTCATAAACTGTGCGGACAAAGATCGAAGAAAACTTACATATTGATGTCGCTGATAACGATAAAACTTATTTTTCACGGATTCACGTTACGGCTTCGTTGCTGAATGGCGCGCGTTCTGGCTCGCCTCCAACTAGTCAGCGGCATTCATACGAAATGACGTGGATGAACGTACCTGTTGTCTGTAGGAACCCTGAAGAAGTGCTTCACACCATTCTTTGCGGAGCTGCTGCACCATTTTGCGCAGCAATATGCGTGATAATTCGATGCCATCATGAACTGATGCAGCTTGCTGCGACTGCGCCGGCTGATGCTCCCGCATACGAGTCATCCGCTACTGTCGTCTGCTCCCGCGCTTAGCAACTCCCGTTTCGCGAACAATTATTTAAGCATTTAAACTGGCTTGTAATATTTTTACCTAAAAATAACAAGAAAGTTGTTTATTTTTATGTCTTAAGTTTATTTGTTTGACAAAAAGCGTTTACTTACGCAAAAGACGCGCTGTCGTTGTTTTGATGTTGGCGACGTTTTACGGCGTGACTGCGAAGCTCGCAATATGTCACTGGCTTGGCTTAGCTAAAAACCGTAAAATTAGTTGTGCTGTGTGTCTTGCGGAAAAGCCATAGGGGCAGGAGCAGTGCACTGTACATAACCACAGAATTATGTAAACAAGCCAGTCCGTGAACTTGCTGCAGTGTATTCACAAAATTCCTCTGTATTTGTAAGGCTGCTGGCGAAACTACGTGAAGTAAAGTATAAAAAATATAGAGGATAAAGCTGCAGCATGGGCGCTTCAGCAACGCCGGTCACCCTATTCACACTTTTCTGGCTGAGTGTGGGCGGCGTGATTCCGTGGTTTGTGCCGAAAGGAAACAACCGCGGGCAAGTTCTTCAGCCACACGTTTTGCGGATGTGCATGTTCCTTGTATTTTACATTACTTATTGAGTGCATGTAAATTGTGTCGGTTGCATTTTCGACAGTGCTTGCGTTAAGACGTCTTTATGTCGTCAAGGTAGTCGCCAACTGCTGTGCTACATTTCTTTCGACCAGTCTAGAATATCTCGGTGGTGGTACAGTTCACGCATCTTTAACTGTCTTAACTCACTCGATTCTCTGGCAGTCGTTTGTTGCGAGTGTGAGCATTTCACGGGGGAAAACAGTAGGGCGCATTGGTGAAGGCATCCATCAACGTTTCGACCATGCAGTTTCGTCGTAGAGACTAGATTTCAGAGAGCGACGGCGGCATTTTAGATGCAGGTAAAACGCTTGAGGCTCGCCTGCTAAAATTGAGGCGCAAGAACACCATGTGGTCAAAATTTTCCGATCCCTTAACTACGGCGTTTCTCGTAACCATGTCGTGGTTGTGGAAAAGACATCTGATGCTGCGGTGACTATCGGCGCCAGTCAGTAACAAATTAGTGTGATATTAACCGCTTTCTGAAAGCTTGGTAAAGAAAATTATGTAAGTCAAGAAGACGCCGTAGCAATACGTAAAGTACACTCTCGCTCGCAATTATCCTTGCTCACCACTAGCTTCGACTCTTGGTCGCAGCGACTGAAAGGTTTGCACTGAAATCCAAGATTCATTCTGGCAGCGAGATTTGAACTCTAAATATAAACTCCTCTCCGCCAAATCGAGTTCAGTTCTCATATTTATTTTTCAGTTTATTTCTGAATTTTCATACTCATCATTTTTTTTTAATTTACATATTAACATTACAGTATTTTGACCTATCCGACTCAAGGAGTGGGTATAAAATGATCTACAAAATGCATGAGTGATTTGTTATTGAATTCAGGTGTGTTTTATTTTCTGTCAGTGCAGCTCATTGCTATGAATATTATTATAAAGGGAAGATTTACACTTGTGCCTTGTACTAAGTGTGTTGCAAGCAATGTTTTGTACATGGAAGTTCAACAGTTCAAGTTCTTTTCAAAGATCATTATGTGTTCATCAAATAACCTCGCTTATTTTTTCAAACACATTTGTTCTGACTGTGCACCCCTCACGATATATTCGTAAAAGTGCTACCACTGAATTGCAAAATGAAACATACTGGCATAAAAAGTGCGCTCAGTTCAAGCCTTCACATATCATTTATATATCTTTTCCTTCCTAATAATCAGCTAGAAGATTACCTAGATGCATTGGTGTGAAAGGAGAAAGCTGGGGTAGGCATCTTTTCTCTTTCTCATGACTGTCCTCCCCCACTACCAGTTTGACACCCACCTATAGTCATTACGAAATTATTGGCCATCATTTTTGCACAGCACAAGCTTCTTTAAAATGAATCAGTCATCACTACCACAATAATATTGCAGTCTTGCTCATGATTCTCATGGAAGTCTTTGTGTGTCTTACTGGTTTTAACATTTTGGTTGCAGGCTAATCCAGACAATGATTGTCACTACAGCTGCCCTCTGCTATACATTGTGAGTTGTATCTGTTTTGTTAAGCTGCATAAATTATTACTCGTGGAAACTGATGCCATATTTTTTTGCTTTCAGCTGGCTGTGTGCATATATGGCGCAGATGAATCCTCTGATGGGACCCCTTCTGAGCAACAAAACTGTCATCATTATGCGACATGAATGGATGTAGAAAGCTATATGGGAATCACTTACCTGCTGGCCTGAATATGTCTTCTGCTTCATTCATTCCCAGGATTTAAGCTGCACCATTATTTATTATATTAGATGTTTAGGATCAGTGCTTTATGGGAATGTAAAACTCCAACAGTTATTATTATTAGAATACCTATGGGTACAATGCATCCTGCGTACCACAACTGTTCCATTTTGTTTTTCTGTGCCAGTTCTCTTTTTCCAAAACAGCTTCCTAAGCTGCTTTACTCATGGTTTCAGAAGTTAGTGCACATCAGTGCTGTGTAGTGGAGAAAAAAAATTTTGTTGCATTTTTACACACTTCCTTTGCAAAAAAATGTTACAGTGGATAGTATTCTGTGTACTCGACAGATCGTGCCATCTCCTACTGTGTTTATTTAATATGTCTATCTCTTATTGCATGGGAAGAGCCAAAATTGGTAATTTTGCTGAGTCCTCCTTATGTACATTATTTCTCAGGTTTTCAAAGCTTGATTTTGGCTCATTACATCACTATAATTGTAGAGATTATAGCTGTCAATAGCTCCCAGCTGTCAATCAGCATTCATGGACAAATTAAATATAAACAAGTTCGGGCTAGCTAAAATATGCTTGTTAATTTTTGTTTGCGGTTGTATACTTAATAATGGCATGATTTCAACTAGCATATTTAGTGTGAGGTACATGATTTGCGGTACATTTGTGCGCATGTGAGATACGTTTACCAACCAGCCCAATCTCAAACCTACTTTAGTGTGAGGCCCAAACACTTTCTGGCTTGTCCAGGATTGTGCTCTTGTGTTATCGCTTACGAAAGGCGCTCTAGTTAGTAATTTGTTGCTCAGGTTTCATTTGTCCACGACTGTACATGCAGTTCCCAGTGATGAAAAAAAACGGTTTACATGATTTTCACCAGATAAGTATTGTTGCTGTCCAAACCTCACTGCTTGCGTCACACATTGGTGCCTGCATGCCATACTTGGTTCCACTTTAGCTGAACAAATTGAGACACAGTTCATGTTCAGAGTGTCAACAAATTGAGATTCATAGACCCTGTTTTGTTCCTTTTCCTGTTCTGTTGCTTTGTACCTGATATTCTCTATTGTTGGTGTGTAGCAGTGTATGTCATGTGACCCCCCCCCCCCCTCTATTCCGTTTTTCTTGCATGCTCTCGTATAGAGCTTGCACTTTCTGACCAACTTTATGCCATGATTCTAGTCACAATTAATAATATATTTATTCCTTCATGTCATTAAATTGACTTGTGTACCAATAAAATAAGCCTTAGGCTGCAATTGATGGCCTGCATTTTTTTTTGTGCCATGTAGTAGTACCAGCTCATTGGAAAGCTGCATTCTTGAGATTGTGTGAATGTTTATGGTATACAACTTGTGGGTTTCTATAGTTATAACAAGGAAGTCACTAATACTCCTGTTTCATTTTTGTAAAATTGAAGGAGGCTACTGGCAGCAGTTAACATCATAGCCATAATGTTCAGTTTAGTACCTGCTTGTTAAAAAGCGGCACCCGTGACGTCATGTAAAATCTATTACTAGCAACTTCTGTATGGTTTATTCTGAGGCACCTGTGATAACCATTTTAAACATGTCAGTATACCAGAGATGCACAAATATTTTGAATTTTAGGTAGATTAGCTTTTTCTTATTGATTCATAATCAATTTAATTGATTTCACTATTCACCATTAGAATTTGCCAAATATTCATTTCAGGTTTATTATAAGGAATAAGAGGTGCCAATGGTGAGAGCTCCATACGATTCTAGAGCAGCTAGGCTGCAATAATTATGCAAGGATCTTGCAATACCTCATCTCGGCTTCATTTTTAATTAATGAGATTGCCTCACCTTAAGACAACCTGCAAATCTTTCTCAATTTTGGTGAAGCAATTTTTGTTTGAACAATTTCACAATGTGTGCACTCCTTTAAAACAATGTGTTATATTTAACTTTACTCAATGTGCACCTAATGGCACACGCTTTACATTTTGGAAGAGTGGCTTTTCGGCCGAGTTAGTTCAGCATCATAGTAGAATTTAGCGCAAAAAGAGAGACTTAGAAAGACCCACACGAGCACCCTAAATTCTACTATAATACTTAATGTGTTTCATAAATGGTGATGCGCTCAGCACTTCTATCATAAGCTCTTATTTGACCATTTCTGAATGGCATACGTATCGAAACACAATATTTTAACTCTGCTGTTACAAAATGAGCATGTTCTTGATACTCAAAAGTCATTTCATGTTCCAGCAACTTTTCTTGAAGCGATAGTTTTTTAAATGGCCAAATAACTCTCTCCTTAACATGCTGCTGGTTCATTTTCAGTGTTGCATGCAGCAAGGACCCTATGCTGAGGTGTTCAGATACAAGATTTATTACAGTGTCGCAAAATAGCACAATGCTTGCATCTATGATATGCACCATACTTGTTTTGCACTAGCAGTAATCCTAGCAAAACTGCCGTTCACAGTTTATCCCACACTATGTGTTGACCCCATACAATTTACACCAGCCGATGCAACCACTTACTAGGGACTGACACTGCCTAAATGATGCACTAAGAATGAAAATGATGGCTGGCTAACACACGCTTTCACAGTCAATTTAGCAAGTGTTTTGATATCGGCTGAATATATAACGAAGTGATGACTGCGCTCGCTATCATTTCATTCTTTATTAAATTGTAAAATCTATTATACTGAGTAAAATATTTTGGGGTCTTAAGTGCCATTGAACAACTACCACGAAATTGTACTTCCGTGAGGGCGGCATAGCCCGGACTCGCGACCCGCGCGCTTAGGGCATGGACGCCCCCTCCCCCTTTCTTAGATAACATGAAGGAAGTCCTCCATGTTAGACAACGAAGGGGGCGCGCAAAGTCTGCCTGATATAGAGTTACAGTATATGTTACATTTAGGTAGCATGCTACCTTTAAGTAGCATATACAGTAACGCTAGCCTGATATAGACCTTTTCACTCAAGGCGTTCTGGGTGCCGCCATAATCCTCTCTGGGCTGTTATTAGCATGGTTGCTAGCGCGCGTGACCCCCCCAAGAAATGCACTGCCGAGCCTGTCACGATGGCTTTCGTACTCTCGTGCAACAGCTCAGAATAGAGGAAATCCTCTTCTCCGTAAAAAAAGGTCAATAAAGCTTTAGACTGATCGTTCAGCGTACACGGTGTTATGGCGATGCAGGAGGATTTGGACAATAATAGCGGTCGAGGACCAGGACCAGGGTCGAGGACCCCCTCTCTGGAGAATCTTGCGCACGCCTTCTCAGCGAAAGCTAAAGTTCTGTACACGACAGACCGAAAACACCCACCAAGCGAAAGTCTGATGCGTTCGGATGGCTAGCCTCTAGATATATAGAGTTCCGTACAACAATTTTGTGGTTACACGGGCTAGTCACGATTGAGACAAACCGTGCGGCTCTTTGGCAAACATAAGCGGATGAAGCACAAAATCATGCAAGAAACCAATGGCTGGGTATCGCTGGGACCACTGTGCCTTGGATTAAAACACTTTTTGCGAAAGCGTAAACAATCACTGCATAGAGTATGCTTTCCGTACAGTGGTGCTGCCGGAGCGCCTCCTTCCGGCTGCAGGGGCCGTTGTTTCCGGTCCAAGCGGGGAGCGTTGACGGAATGACGCCCTTGGCAGTCTCTAGTAAGCGTACGCACACCACGAGCGAAATCTACGAAGCTTAACGACAGTATTCGACACATTGTTCACGTTTTGATCCGGCTTTAAAATGGGAGCAGACGTAGCTGCCGTTTCTATCGTAAGTGTTTTCTGGGTTGTCGTCGGTGCCATAGTGCCTTGGTTCATTCGGAAAGGCTCGCATCGCAGGTGAGTTGGTCACTGATGGAACACTGCACACCGCTTTGCGCCGCGAAGTCTTTTCGCTAACCGATAGAACTGTCAAATTTGACTTGCAGCCTCATTCAGGCAATGATCGTTACGACGTCGATATGCTGCTACCTCTTGTAAGTTTTTAATTATTTCTTACGCTCCTGTATCAATATGACGCTTGTCATGTGACTCCGGGTAGGGAATACAAACGGGTGCATTTGTACTAAAGCGCACTCCCCCCCCCCCCCCCCCCCCCGTTTTTCGTCTATTCAGTTGGCTGTGCACATACATGTCCCAAATGTATCCCCTGGTTGGTCCATCGCTAACCAACAGTACGGTGATCATTATGGAAGCGTACTGGGGAAGTAACAAGTCTGCAGCGTGAAGACGAACAAGGCAAGTGATTTGAAAGAGGCTATGAAAGTCTTCGCTCGTGGCTTTGCCACTCACTCCGTAAGGAGTAGATGGGTGCAGCGCAACCTTAAATATTCGCAAATAAAAACTGCACATTACAGCTTGTTAGCGCTGGCACCGAAGAACCCTTTTCGGTTTCCAACACCTGGTGTGCCTTTTGAATTTTTCGAGATGGGCTCGTTCTCCGTTCATCCATGGTAAAAAGAAACTTCTGAATAGTGCTCGAAAACAGTGGAAATTCGGTTCTTTGTACGAAATACTGCAGGTAAAGTTCTTAGCGCTCCATTTTCGGTATGTTCTAGATAGTAATGTTCCTGCAGTGATTAGCTTAAAGCTCAGCTTTGAGAGAGTTACCAATTTTCAATTTTAACATTTAGTATTTTCTTAAGCAGAAAAAAAGTACGCAGCTACAGTAATTTGCAAAATAGATGAGCTAGTGCATGCGTTCAGTTAAGTCTCGTTGAACAAATGCCGGATAAACTATTCAGTTGTACTAATTTTATCAAGTTCTCATGGAAGTGCAATTACACTCAATAGTAACTCACTTCAATTTAACGAAATTTAGTACACAGCATGTTTTAGTACTTCTAACATTTTCAATCAAACCATCCATTGCCTCGCCAGTCATGTTGTCCACTTCAACTAGAACAACCCTACTTTTTGTAGTGTACCCTGCATGGTCGACTCCCCACAGCATGCCACCGGAGGTAATAGCATAGGCCTAGATTTTACTCCGATGAGAGCGCTTCATTACCACATGACCAAAAGTGGGCCCCATTGGCCTTGAGCTCGATTGGTTGCCTGCATATTTGCAATGCTACAACTGCATGCTAGTTATCTTAGTGCCAAACGTTGAGCACATGTCTCTGGAAAAACTATATCTGGAGTCAGAAACTGGAGTCATTTTCTGTCCCACAGACTGTTGTGGCAAAGAATGTTCACTAGAGCTTGGATACAATAACTCAATCTATAATCACTGCGGTCTTAAGAGCACAAGTGTAGCAGAAGAATACTACATTCTTCACAAGACCCTCAGTAGACAAATTCACATGCAAATGAGAAGCATTACAAATAAATTGGTTGAAAATTCAATTGAACACCTAACGTTTCCATCCGCTTGTGATAACTAGCTATAGCACAGCTGTTTCAGTTCCCCAAACTTTTGCTTTAACATGCACTTTCCTGGAGCCCCTTCAAGTTTAAGTGAAGCTTTGCTATATTAATTTTTTGTAGTATACCAAGAGCACAGTATTTCAAAACTGTTAACTTTCGTTATTGGAATATAAACAACGATGTGTCTCGCGAAATGGTGCGACGTTGCAGTCGATTCTTGACAATGAAGTGTTGGAACAGTGTGGCCACACAGAGACATGGCCTTACTTCATGAACTAAATTGTTTGAGTGCACCACATTTGCATTACTTAGAACGTCTTTCATTACAATGAAAAGCAGACGGTTTCACCATTTTGTGGCCCTACTAAGGGCATCGATGCCAGTAAACAATAATCTTACTTAAAAATTGTGTGCCTTTTATTAACATCACTGGCAGTTATCAAAGAAGCAAGCCAACTCGTTCTCCATGAATGTTGAAAGGTTTTGCTGCTGTCAATGCAGATAATTTGCTTGAGGGCAGGTAATCCACAGTGCCATGCATGGGTGGCAGAGTTGCCAATTCAGCTTATATTAAGTGAATTTGGGCTTCTTTTTTCGTCGAGTCGCTTGTTACTTTTTTTAGCAAGTATAGTTATTTTTGTGATCACATTCACAAATAGTGCATTTGTCGATGACTACGAACACGAGTGTTGAAGTCATACAGACATTGGGGAAATTAAGTAACATTAATCGTGCATTCAACTTAATGACGACTACCCCGGAGACAATGTAACTATGTTGCTAAAATCCTTGCTTGGGTGTTATGGTACTACATACTTCACATAAATACAGCACAAAAGCAAGAGGATTAGTGAAAGACAGTCTGCGTCCTTCTTCCAGAAGACCTTTGTCTTTACGCACCGTTTTTGTATGATGTAAAATGTGCTTTCATTGATGTCTGCATATATTTTCACTGTGCAAAATAATTAGTGATTTTTTAACTCCTATGCATATTCGAGTGACATTTCTTTATTAGAAATGGGAAATAGATAAAATGGGAAATAGATAAAATTTTCAAGAATGGAAAATAGATAAAATTTTCCTTTCTATAGGGATTGCTTTTGAAAGTCGCGCCGCTTGTTTTGGGATCATTTAGTGATGATTACTTGCTTGTTAGCTCGAAAGCATCTGGCAACTGTGATAGGCAGGCATGATAGGCACATCTGCATGCTTATGCTATTTAAGTTTACTTCACCGAAAAAAAGTACAACAATGAAGCCACAATGCACCAACGCAAATTTTGATTTGATGCAAGGGTGCACTGTTGCTCTCCTAAGCCAAACTTCCAAGTTTGCGTGTTCACTCTAAAAGGCTAAAAGGGGGTACATATTCTTTCATTAAGCAGACTTGTTGCTACTGAATTCCGAAAACCTTTATTGTGTGTCATAGATAGTTAACCCTTTACTGCCGAGTGTCGCGAATTCGCGATACACAATAAAACTTCCGAGCAAGCAAGTCGCGAAATGCATGCCGCCTTTAATCCTAGCTATCAAGTACTCACAAGGAACGTAGCTTTTAGCATGGAAAATCTAGTGCCTTCTTGTCTAAGGTATTTTATGTTAGAACCAATTGTTTTGTAACTGACAGTGGAGAGCGTAAAGCACGTGCAACAACTTTCACTTCATTCTTTCTCACCTGGTTGACCTAAGTTCTTTAATAATTTTGTTTATTTGGTGTGTATGCACCCAAGAGTGTGGCACACGACATATCACGTAGTTCCGAAGTAGGTTTTGCAAGGTCTTCACTTCGGTGGCATATGGCGAATATGTGACATACATATAAGTATGCATTAAAGTTGCATTTTAGATAGTTTAACTGTGTAATCATTTCAAGGTTATATTTAAAGTTGGAAAATGGAAACAATTTTATTCAACAGATTGATAATTCATGCATAAAATGGTTAACAATGGCCTACATACACACTATCTTCAGTCGGTCAATAGTGGGAAAATGAGGGAAGCTCTAACCAGAGAGCACAGCAACTTTTTGTGCTGTTGAAAGCTTTCACCATGACAAACACATTAAACGGTGCCAAGTGAGGCATCCCACGTTTTCCTCTCTTCGAGTGATCTCACTGCAACGACTTCCTTAGTTTACCAAGTTTTCTGACAGCCTTAGGTGAAAGTGCATTTAAATGTAAACTAACTTGCACACTAACCTTGATCTCTCTCTCTCTTTTATTTCAGATCAACATGCAAGGACATGCTATGCAAGGCCTTGTGTACATCTTAAGACCACTAGTGATTGTAGCCTTCTAGAATAGGGTACTGGCTACTTCCATGAATGTGCTAAGTCCAAAGTCAGGAATATTCCTGGTGTTATGTTCAGCTGACGACAGATATTCACACTTGTATGTTGACTTGTTGCTGAGCAGCTTCTAATGTTTACTGCTTATATTGCGAATGTTTCAGAATAGCTACAGGTATCCTTGAAACCACAAAGTGCCTTATTTACCCTAGATTGTGCATACTTGCAGAGTTTTATGTTGGATTTTCATGGGAGGCGTTCGGGAATTGTGTTTTGTAAGAAACTGAGCAATATGATAAAAAAACTGCCAAATAAACATGCACATTGTTCAAATCGCAATTTATTTGTGCACTTTCACACAGTTTGCCACAAGGCACTTTCAACAAATTTTTTCTAGACAAGGCAAGCTCAAGAGCAGAACAGGACTTATCGTAGCATGCTTAAAACCCTTTTAAAGTACACGGAACACATCCACATTATGTACATAGAACTGAGTGTGAAAATATCTTTCATATGGCTTATAGCACTGCCCTCTAAAAGTTGTTTTTATAAATGCCTTCTCAGATTCATACGCTTATTCCAGGTTACAGTTGAAAATATCAAAGCCATTATATAATGAACTTAATTTAAGCATCTTGAACAATTCTGTGAAAATTTTGTGTTCACTACATGAATGGTTTCCAGAAATTATATATTAGTACTTTTATGCAAAAGCCACCACTACCTTGAATGCTGGTAAAAAGTTCTTCCATGAAGTCTATATAAAAGAAGTGAATGTACCCCATTAGTAAACCTTACTTCCCACTGCATTTGATGGCTTTTCAGAAAGTGTTTGTTTACTTATATAGGCTAATGCATCAAGATGTCACTAAAGTCTGGTTTACTCCCTACTAAAAGAAGCTAACCATGAATGCAGGCTTGGCTATTGTGCCAGGCGCAAAGTTGCACAACAGTCATTACCTTAATTCCAAAATGGGTTACTCTAAGAAATGCATATAAAGCATGGATAGGGCTAGACAGGTTTCCTTGAACAATGGCAAGTCCAACCCGCAGAAACTGGCATATGTACACTCAGTGACCATATGACGTGTTTAAACAGCAATCCTTTTTAATGAGACTGTATAAGCCAAACAATTGCTCACTTCGATCTGCCATGTACACCATAAGCTCATAAGCATCGTACAACATAACAATAAAGCGTGATAGATTAATGCACTGCTTAAAAAAAAAAGTGTCCTTCGGCTAGAAGGTGCGCAGTGAAATAAAACTGCAGAGGAAAAAACCACTCAACACGATTCAAACAATTATGACATCTCTCTTTTATGGCTCGTTTCTTTGTCCACTTCATACTGAGCTGTGATTTTCTTTTCTCGTATCTGCACTGCTTCTTTCATGCTTCAAATTTGTTGATACTGTACTTCTAAACATTTTCTTGTGATAGTTTACCCCACTAAAAAAAGTGCAGGTTTTAAAATTAAATATTTTACACTTGCTTCTGACCCTGCAAACACTAATGCCCGGTAGGAATAGTGCACCACTTTATTGTACGGAGGCCCTGGAATATGATCTTCAAGTTGGACAAAATCAATGTATTTGTAGCTTACAACAAAAGTCCTGCATTATTGAATAAAGTCAGGAAAAAAAACTTGGCAGAAAAATATTTCCAAAAACCTCAGTTCTGATCCAATGCATCTAGTGCAAACCACCTCATTTATTGAATATTGAAAAGATGTTATGCATGGAAAAGTGTGAAAATTATTGCACTAAAATAAAAAATCGCATAACTATAAAAAAAGTGCAGTTTCAATTTATGCTGCAACCAAAAGTAATTGTGCTTTCATTTATTGGTCAATTTCTTTGGAGGCCAGTTTTATACTGGCTATTAGAACTTTTCATGCCAGGGTTCACTGAACAACTTTTAGGACTTCATGCTAAAATTTTTGAATTGCACAATGCACTGTAATTGCCTCTTCCGGCTCAAGTGCTGTGTCAAGCACGTAACGATGCCTGTTGCCCATGCAAGTTGTTCATTGTTCCAAGAGCAAGCTATTTCCAAAATTACCATAAAAGTGCAGGTTCACTGCGCTGCCCCTTAAAAACAAGCTACGGGAATCTGACAGCACAAGGCTGTCAACGAAAGACTGGAGGAGTACTACTGGCTGGGTGCTACTTGTGCAGTCGAACGTATCTGCTTGGGCATTGCCAGGGAAGTGGGAAAGCACCTATTTTCGAGTGAGAGGAGACATGCGCACAAATCCCTGCAATGGAGGTGGGGCGCTCAGTCCGTCAAGGGGTAAGGGTGGTACACCACTGGTGGTAGTGGTACTGTTTGGTGGTGACTGCAGACTCGTAGGAGGTGGTGGCACAGCTACACTGGTGTTACCCAGTAGTGCAGCTGGGTTGTACAATTGCATCTTGGGTTGAGAAGCAGAGCGACTAGTAGCCAGCTGTGGTGCAAATCCTTGCAAGGCATAGAGTTCTTTCAATATTAGCAGCACTGTGTCTTCAGACTCCCTATGGAAAAGACAAAGACAAGCAGTCTTAAGAATTTATACAAACAGTAATCTCGCTACAGGTGTACAGTGCTCACAGATTGAAATGCAATGAACGTTCTCTGTATAGCAACTGGTAAATACAATCTCTTGAGATGACCACATTATATCACTGGGCACCTGGCCACTTGAGATAATGTTGGTTCTAATCTAAGCATTTCAGTCGAATTATGCCAATATGACCCAAACTGAAGACTGTGGAAATGAAAGTACTATGTGCATTACTTAGCCCTAAATTTTCGAGTTTCAATCTGCCATTACCGTACCTACACTTTATACTGCATCCATCTGTCATATGACTTGAAAATAAAATGTAATCATGATCATTAATATTCTTTTTATCTATGGAGACTGCATTTCCAAACCTGTGCAATGATAATTGCTACACGTCTCACAACAAAAATATAGTAATACCTTGTTGCTTCAACTTGCTGGTCGAAATTATAAGATCAAGTAATTCATACTTTTTCCAGCCTTGCAGAGCCAATTGAATCATTTAATGGTATAGTAAATTAATGGTAGTAATTCAGATGCACCTTGGCTTCTTCCAATGACCTTTGGAGCATGCAGTGTGAATCACCGTGAATATGCTTTGTAAATGAGCAGAGCTAGCGCTCAAGTGAAATGAAGTAACAGCTTCTGCATCATCTTGGTTATTAGAAGAATGGCCTCTAATGCTGGTAAATGCACGGAAGACAACTTCTTTATTCTAACTCTGTGCATTAAAATCTCCAAACGGATCCGAAGCACACTATTGGCAGCCTTCCTAGAAATGCCGAATCCATATTACTTTGCATGTCAACTTATGCTCTGGTGTGTACTACAACAGCTCGGCTTCGATGAAGGGTACTGCCATGTTTCTTGGAACAACATATAATAGAGGGAGAATGTACAGCATGAAATAGAATGCTGCATAGTGAATTTAGAATTCTAAAGATTATTTCACTCTGAACCTATTATAATACACGATAGAAGGCCTATGATATGCTTAAAGGGCCAGTAAGCAATCTTGCAGTCCAAATTTTGTGATGAAATAACTGCACACTTCTCTGATGTGAGCGTGCTGCCTCTGAAATTTCATGAATTAGTGCATTAATAAAGAAGTTACAGGGGACATAATAATTTCCAGCCGTTTTTATATACCAACTCGACCTCGCCACTCTTCTCCATTGCCCAGAGGAAAAGGCATACATAGCCTATCATCACAACTACGCTCGCACACGGCCAGACTCAACTCCCTAACAGCCTTTGAAATGATGAGCACTGCTGCCTACCCCTGCAGCTCTGTGGTGGCCCTGCCAGGTCACCGACTGCCTCGCAACGTGTGTTCAAGGACGCACTACAGTGGGCCACATATGAGGAATATGTGCATAACACTGGCTACCAGATGCATGTTGTCTCAAATTTTTAAGCTTAATATTTATTTTCAATGCCAGTAGTCAACATTATAGTCTGACATGTAACGGCGTACGTCCTCTGCCCGGTGCCCTCAGTAGCAGACAACGCGGGAATGATGAAAAGGGAGTGTTGAGCCAACACCCACAATAGTTGAATGCCTGACATTACTCACGGAAAATGAAAGCCTCAAAAAATGCAGCTCAGGTTATGAGAGGTACGGAGGCTGTGAAGAGGCAACAAAAATTGAAATCTTACAGGGACAAACTGCTTATTCTTGATCGATACAGAGTATTCTTGTACATTTGAGTGCCGACAACGTTCACGTTACACAGATTTAACGCTAAAACACTTTCTAAATTACTTTTGCAGGTAAGTGAGACGTTTATAATTTATTTCCGTTGCCATGTTGATGTGGTTTGTTAGTAGTAGCCTGAGAAACAAGTCAGCAATCACACCAGCCATGCGGCTTCTGTGGCTTGCCAACATGATTGATATGTGGGGTTTAACGTTCCAAAACCACCATATGATTATGAGAAACGCCGTAGTGGAAGGCTCCGAAAGTTTCGACCACCTGGGTTTCTTTAACGTGCATTAAAATCTGGGCATACAAGCCTACAACATTTCCGCCTCCATCGGAAATGCAACCGCCGTAGCCGGGATTCGATCCCGCGACCTGCGGGTCAGCAGGACTTGGCGACATATTCTAGGCAGCTAAATATGGACGATTAGACAAAGTGTAATGAGAACTTGCAGCATTTTGTGAATGTTTGTTCGTGAAAGATGACTTTCAAAAGTGCCCAGGACATGAGATTTGGGTAGTGCATAGCACTTTTGTTCTCTTTGTGCAGCCCCGCCGCGGTGGTCTAGTGGCTAAGGTACTCGGCTGCTGACCCGCAGGTCGCGCGATCGAATCCGATTGTGGCAGCTGCATTTTCGGTGGAGGCGAAAATGTTGTACGCTCGTATGCTCAGATTTGGGTGCACGTTAAAGAACCCCAGGTGGTTGAAATTTCCGCAGCCCTCCACTTCGACGTCTCTCATAATCATATGGTAGTTTTAGAACGTTAAACCCCACATATCAATAAATCTTTTTGAGCAATGCGATTTCGAGAAGACAAATGCCAAGAAAAGTGGACAAAATAGACCCCTTCAATAAGGGAAGACGCTGGTCCTAAAAATAAAATTTTTATTATTCGAGATATTTTAATAAAATTAGGTGCACATATGTGCTTCTTTCTCATGTTTTCAAAAATGCAATTGTTTTATTCTACCCAAAGCAGTTCTCGGATTATAAGAAGATAAGTGAAGTCTAATTAGGTAAATTCTTATGGGTGATTGAGGCACATTCTCTTGATATTTTTTGGTTCAGTTTAAGATGCAGCAGTAGCCAAAGATTTGCCATGTGGAGCTATGCTATTTATATTGATGCTGATATTCATCATCATATGAAAATTTACAATTGTATTACTGCTCCATAATTCTGAAGTGTGATTCGCTCACATTATTGCTCACAAAATCTTGTATGTTCAACTTAACCATAATAAAATAGCATATCTCCACATTTCGATTCCTTACGAGTTCAACGGTATAACATGTATTAAAATTGGCTCACGAAAACATAATGAAAAGTTCCGTAAGGCTAATCAGGCTGGCAAAAAAATGTGAAGCTGAGAAAATTGCATTTGAAGTTTTGACACTCGCTGCAAAAATTTTTAAAAAGAATCTTCAACAATAAATTTTATTTACATGTTTCCTATCTGTTTCCCTGCTTAACAAAACAGAAAGTGTCTTATTTCATCCAGGGCATCATTAAAAAAGAAATCCCAAGTGGAAAGCAAGATCCGAGCCCCACCATGGCAAGTGGTTGAAGGGGAGGAAGGGAGGGTCCTGAAAAGACCATGCGGTATGAGACTAAAGCCACTGCTTCTTCGTAAAAATAATGAGAACTTGATTTGCATTAATTGCCTACATGTTAATCATTAATTAGCTACCTGGATGTTAGGCAGTAAGCTGCCCTGTTTAAGGTAGCTGCAAACTGAGCGTCGCTTATGCTCAGCCACGCACAGATGTGTGTCCTAAGACAATGCAGGGTGTGCAGAGAACTGCATATATTTTGCGCTTCTGACAAGCGCGTTTGCAAAATCGCGGCGAAACCAACCGGACGCACCTCCACCCTTCGCTCAATCGCCTTTGTAAGCGGAGCGCGACATGTGCTGTCTGTTACGCTGCTCGCATGATCATTCTGCACATGGAGCGGATTGTAAACGTAATGGTCCCTAATTAGGCATCGACTTCACCAAACTCTCGTACTGACGGTGCACCTCTAGCCGGCGCCTTCTTGTTCTAAGCCTGCTTTTTACGGCTTCCCAAAGCTCGTAGCGAGGACGGTTTCAGATGACAGTCTGCAGACATCTCGATCGCAGGAATAAACTACTGCTGCAAAGCACAAACACAGTGTGTCGAGAAACATGCACGAGCGCAAAAGCAAATGTGCACAATGGAATAGCCACGACGGCAAACGCAAAAAAATTAAAACGAGTTGGTCATGCCAGCCAATGGGAAACGTGGAACGGCACTCTTAAAAGCGTGCCGGCCACGTCAGCCAATGGGAGCCTCGGTACGGCGCACTCAAAATGCGCGCCAAGTGAGAGCCAATCAGCAACTCGAGAACGACCTTCAGACTTGGACGACGCCATTTGAAAATGACGGTGCTCAGCCTGCTGCAATGCTCATGGCCCACGCACGAATTTATAACACATTTTGTTCCTTTGGGGGCGCTTTACTGCTGCCAGGGTATTCTGAAGGCCCATTTTGTCACATTTTTCGACCGAATTCAGCGTTAGTAATTTGAGAGTAGGTGCTCAGAGGTGCAAATGCCCTCAAAATAAGTTTTGCAAAAAAATCCTTTTTTTTTTTTGCCATTTTCGATCGTTCTATGACCCGCGTCCCCCCTTAATTACTGTTGCTATCATCGCTAAAGCATCACAGCCAAGCTCACTATTGAGTTTCACGAGGTATTCCCCAACGTGCACCAAACCAGATGAGGGGGCTGGATCTAAAAAGTGTTTTTAAGGTGCTTCAACTATGTTACGTCCTGAGGTACGGCTGTAGCAGGCTCTTCAGCTTGCGTCTGTGTCACATGCATCTGCTTTGCAGAGCTGGTCTTGCCTTTGACAGTAGTATTATAAAGGGCAACTGCGATAGCTCTTCTATAAAACACATTGTTAGCCCCACACATGGACCTGAGCCATGCAAAGTGTGCTTCAGCTGGGTCTCCGTGCCGAAAGAAATAATTCTAGTTTTCCCTAAGAGGAACCCTGCTGTCTCCGTTGTTTTCGCTGTGAACAGCGAGAGCTAGCATGTTTCGTCTACTAATTTGCATGCCTTTTCCTAATGCGATAGATGCCCCTATAACATTCCTGGAACAGCAGGGGAAATCCTTTTTTCCATTACAGCATTCTACAGTCATTTTCTTGTTTTCAGACATGGGCTCCTTGTCACTCCCACTGCACACCATGACATGGACATCAAACCATTGTTTCATCATCTTCATAAGCAATATTGT